TAACAAAATACAAAGATTTTATATCATAAAAAGATGCGAATTCATAATTTTCAAGTATAATTAGATAGATTTCTTTTAAAAATGACATTTTGATTATGAAATTAAAAATCTAATTGGTTAAATTGATTAGATAAAATAAATTTTATTAAATAGAAAATGGAAAAACAAAATCTTTAGGAAAAACAGATTCGATCAAATTTCCTTGATTAATCTAAAATTTTACAAATTCTTCAGATAATAAATATAACTTTTTATCATTTACTAATTCAAATTTAAATAAATTTTTATATATAAAAAAATTTACAAATATAAGATCATCTTTAATTAAATATATTGCTTCAGTGTTTAGATTTTTAATACAACCTTTTGAGTATACTGTGTAGGTGTAATGATAAATATATGTATCTAACAGATTATTAAAAGTAGTTCTAGAAACCAATATCTTAAAATGTGAATAACTAAATTTCTTGTAATAATTATTTCGATTCTTTTGAACTACTTCACTAATAATCTAATCTTTAAATAGTGTTAAATATTGTTCAAAAATTTCTTTTTTGCATTCTTTAAGTTCATCATTTATTCGTATTTGAAATTTATTATTTATATTTTCTACTGAGATGTTTAATAAAATACTTGTAACAAGTTCATAAAGCATTTTGTCAACTAATGATAAAGATTTTATTTTATCAAAAGATGTGTATTTATATTTTTCAAGAATTATCAAGTAGATTACTTTTGAAAACATTTTAATTTATATAGTAAAGAATCTAATCGGTTTGAAACTGATTAGAATATTAAGAAATACATTTGCATTTTTTAGTTTTACAAGTAAGATCAATTCCACTATTTCTACTTATAGTAATTTTGTTACAATTAAAACATTGATTAAAGTTGATATCACGTCTTAAAAAATGATTTACAAAATAAAATAAATCATTTTCTTGATAAACATTCAAGACCTTATTACTGTTTTTTCTATAAACTGAAATATTTTTATGTTCACAAAAATAAATCTCATATTTACGACTAATATCATAATGATTAAAAAATTTTAATAAATGATCATAATCAAGAAATCTTATCTTAAAATCTTCTTTGACTTGATTAGTGAAAGGTGAATTATAAACATCACAATGATTGATAGTTTCTTTGATAAGTAAATTGGTCTTTTTTACAAAAACAAGTTTGATTTTTCCACAACAAGGACAAGTATTAAATCTATATTTTTGTTTACTTAATTCTAAATATTTTTTTAATGCACATTTTGAAAAAATATCTAAAACTTCATCATCATCTTTTTTAATCACATAAATTTTCTCTTCTTCATCACTGAAAAAGTCATGTTGCTCATTCCAATATTTGTCAAAAAATTTATTTGGATCTTGTAAAGTTGATAACTTTACAATAAGTTGTTTAGTATTTTTATTACACATTTTTTAATTTACATAATAAAAATTCAAATGGTTTGAAACTAATTAGAATAAATTTATTTAATTAATAATTTTAATGTTACATCTGCATAAATCAAAAGAACATTTGTTTTTAAATCTAATGTTTGATAATTTCATTTCAGGATAAAGTAATTCGAGTAAATATTCTCTGCTAATTTTATTAACAATGTTCTGGTCTTTATTAAGAACAAATTCATGTTCTTTTAAAAAAGATCTTTAATCTTTATTAAGAAGAGCATTTTGTTTATCACTCAACTTAATTTGAGTATATTTAGTAATATGTTCATTGTCATCAGAATACATAATTGGTCTTTGAAAATTTGTTTTTTTATTTTCTCTAAACCAGGTAAGATCAGTTTTCTTAATTAAACAAACATTAATACTGACATTTGAATCCTGATTATCTGAATTACTTGAAGATTGAAACATTGTTAAATGATACTCAAAAAAAAATTTAATTGGTTTATTAAACTAATTAAATTTAATTTTATTTATTTATAAAATAAATTTGTGTTTTTTTTCTTTTTTTTTGGCATGCCGCTAGCCTTGCACGTGCTTATCATGGGTTGTGTTTTTAAATGATAAGTGAATCTCATTGTGATTCATATTTCTGATTGGGTCCCTCACCCATTTTCATATGTTGTATTCAAACTTCTCCCAATCATCAACATGAATCGACATTTTGATTCTTACAAATGTAGCAATAATTTATATATATATATAAAAAAATATATAAATTTATTTTAAAAATAAATTGAAATAATCAACAAAATTATTTGAAATAATCTTTGATAGTATTTTGACGTACTGGTAAAATTAATTCAATATCAAGATTTTTTGAACCTATATATGCTAGTTTGTCTGCTTGTTCATTCTCATAAATACTACTATGGCCTTTTACATGTTTTAAATATGTTTTTCCTTTATGTTCCTTAATTAAATCATTGAATCTATTAACTAAATCAAAATTTTTTTTTAGTTTTTTAACATTATAGGAATTAATAACATATATACTATCAGTATTAATTATTAAATTTTCATTTTTATTACAAATTTTAAGAGCTCTAATTGCTGCATAAATTTCAGCACAGTTGTTAGTTTGTTGTTTTTCTAGTAATCATTTAGATAAATTTCTGATATCTTTGTCTTTAAAAAAGACTCCAATACTACTAATCACATATGATAAACTATTTCTTTTACAATAACCATCTGTTCATATATTTAATATATCTTTAATATAATCAATATTTTGTTGATCTATAAAAATTTGAACCTTGATCTTTGTAAAAAATGATTTGTACAAAGCTTCAGGATATCTATTGACATATTCTTTACATTCTTTCCATGATGTAAAAATCCCTGTCTTTTCTTCTTTTGCTATAGCATAATATTTTAATGAAGTAATTTTAGGCATCTGGATTTACAGCATAAATAATTCAAGCAAATGAATTACAATTATAAATATCAGTTAACAAACAACCTACGATGAAGTAGCCGAGTTAGCAGAAAATAAGAGTTAGTAAAATTTATTACATAAAGTAAAGATTATTACAGGTTGCGAATCTCTCTCATCTTAAAAAAATAATGAAGATTATATGAAAAAAATCTAAGCTATCATACAAGACTAATTAGATTGTTTAGACTAATTGAGAACACGAAAGAATAATAATGTTATACAAACAATGAAAAGTAATAATGTAAAAGATTTTGCTAATTCAATTAGACAAAATGATAAGTTTGAGCCAATTTCAATATTCAGTTCAAAAGCCATTTTTAATGAAAAGAAGAAAAATAATGTGGGTTTATATATTTTTTAACTTATGTGATATTATTAAAATGATAATTGAAATTGATAAGTTCAGGGTGCAAAAACTTTAAAAACTTGCTTCGACACATGTAGCAAACTGTATGAGAGTGCCAAGTCATGAACTGTAATTGTTTATATTTTTTTACTAAACATTTGTTAAAACTAATTTTTAATTCATAAGAGAAACAGATAATGTTTGATTCACATAAATCACAGATAAATTTTAGATTTTCAAATTCCTCTTTAGTAACCAAAGTAAAATAATTATTAGAATTTTTGAAATGTAATAGATTAAGCTGTGTTTCTTTTTTCAAATAATTTACAGTAATCATATGTTTAAGTTGCTCTTCCTCTGAGATATCTTTAATAAATGTGAAGTAATTAACAAAAATCATGAAAGAAACATATATGTAAGGTTTTATTAAATAGTTGTTGAATAGTTTGATCAAAATGTATTTTGTTTCATGTAAATTGAATAACATTATATAAAGTTTGTGCCAAAGTTAACATGTTGTTTTAATTGTGTTTAAGATTAACACATTCATGAGTATAATTTTTTCTAAATTGAAACATGAGTAAAATGTCATTATCAATATTTCATTAGAAAATAAGTTGATGTGAACCATGATTACATGAATAAAAATTTACTCAGTCAAAACTAAGTAGATGATTTATTTGAATAAAAATTAAGTGTATAACTAATTTTTTAATATATTAGAATATGAAGAAGAAGAAAAAACCTGATCACTATCTAGAAGTGCATTGTAGCTTTGGCCTCAGTAAAGCGCTGTTAAATATAAATCACAATATTCACAAACATTTACACTATATTTTAGATAAGAATTATTATTAGAAGATTGAACTAACTTTTTTAGAACTTTTTTACAATCCGATTCTGTGTTTTCAAAGAAAGTGAATCCTTGTGTCTCACAATATGTATAAGATTTACAGTTCTGACATCTGCTTTTTCCATATTTATAAAATGTTTTAGTATCTGCAAATATTAATGTTCTCTTGAAATTCTTCAAATAATTTGTCTTAACATATAGTTGCTTTTCTAATCTTAACTTATAAGAGAATCGAGAACCATCTTTGTCAATATCGATCCAGATGTTTTTGGGACAGTATTGTATATTCCATTTGTATGGAGTGGAAGGACTATATAATGAATTGTATTTTTGTATTAAGTAGTATCTGGTTGCAATCTTGTTGAAATAGTAATAATAATGATGGTGAAATGTTTTGCACACGAATTTTAGTTTTCAAAATTTACCAAATCTTTTATCATCCAATGTGATCTTTGAAGCTGGAGTCAAGAAAAAAAAAATTTCATAATGTATATCATAAGGCAATGAAATAAGATATTGTGTGTTATTAATAAAATATAAATCAAGTTTATGTCTATAATATTTTCTTTTTTTTTTGCTTTTTTGAGATATTAGTTTCATATTGAATTACATGAATAAATCTCTGCTCAGTAGAACTGAACAGATTATTTATTAAAGAATATTAAACGAAATTTTTCAAATTCCTTATTCTGTTTCAATAATCTAATATCGTAAAATTTTTTGGTTCTAAAAATTCATTATTTTCATTATAACGATTATTGAAATATTTATTACAATCTTTGCAAATTTTTATACAATATGATAAATAATGATTTCTAACAGACATAGGTCTGATCTTTTTACATAAAGCATCTTTACATTCTGATTTACAATGAGTTGGAAAATCATAAGAATTTACTACACAATATGTAAATGATTCGCAATTCTGACATCTGCTTTTTCTATATGTTTCAAGTTCATTCGATTCAATAAATATCAAAGTTTTCTTAAAATGATCACAGTATAATTGATTATTATGTATATGAAGTTTATGAGAGTGAGAAAATTTAGAGTAAAAATCAACATCACCATCTTTGAGATTGATCCAGATGTTTTTTGGACAGTAACGTATGTTCCATTTGAAACATTTTGGTGGTTCATGATCTCGATTGTATTTCTTTTGAATCAAATAATATTTTGTTCCAAATTGAGCGAAATAATATCTATAAAACTGACAGAATAATTTACACACAAATTTTAGTTTTCGAAATTCAACAAATCTTTGATCATTTAATGTAAATTTTGATGATTTTGTGATATCTGAAGGTATTAATAGTAAAAATATTATATAAAGTATATTATCTGGTAAATAAATAAATAGTCTTCTGTTTTTAAAATTCTTTATAGAATACAGATTAATTTTTTTGCATTTGTGTTTTTCTTGAGGCATAATTATGTAAATAAACTTCTGTTCAGTACATTTTACTGAACAGATAAATTTGTGAAGTGCTAATTGCATCTATGATGTATTTACATAAATTTATTAATAGAATACATGTTCTTTTACAAAAGTAAGATTATTGTAATAAATTAATTCTGTTATAATTACCATCTTCAAATCGATTAATGGTTCGATTGATAGGTTGTAAAGTTGAGAAGAGGATTTTAATCAGTCACGTTTTTCTGTTAATAGTATAAAATCATTGAATTTATCAATATCAAACTTGTTTTTTGTTAGAAAGTTTATTAGTGAAGAAGATCTTTGCATCTTTATATAAAGTTTTGTTATCTCAACATAATCCATGATTTTGATCTGGTTGTTATCAAATAATTGGTATTGCATCTTATTAAAATTAAGAGAAAAAGAATTTTTTTTACCTTTATATATGTTTTCATTTACTTGATTCTGGTTGTTTATCAGCTTGTAATTTATGTTTACATAATATATCAGAGTAATAAAATTTGTCTAGTTTTAATTGAGTTTTTTGTTTTTTATTGTTTTTCTGTTTGTGTAATTTTTCAGTTGGTTTTCATTTAGTTATATCAAGTATTGTTTTAACAAACTCAGTTATCTTTTGTTGGTTCTCTTCAACAAAAAATTCTGTTATTGTTTGTTGCTTTTTAAGTTCCTCAGCATCGAATATTTTCTTTATTTTTTTGAGAGCTTGCTTCTCTTCACAGCCTAAAAGATGAGCCACAATGTCTTGCAAGCTATAAAAATAGTATACAATATCAATAGTATCTTTCTTTGGAGCAAAATGGTCTGTTAAAATCATTTTGTGTGAAATATTTGATACACATGATAGAAATTTTACATAATAGTAGAATAGTTCTGGCTCAATAGGGTGTTTCAATTTAGCAATAAAACAATTAACCATCTTGTTTTCTTTTTTTGTATCAGATTTTGTAATTTGCTTAAGTATTTCATTTTGTTCTTCTTTTGACAGATCTTTGTTTAATAATCTTACAAAATTGACTGCTGATACTGAAGCATATGTTGGGTCAAACTTGGCTGTAAGAACAAACAAGTCTAATAGTGTTTCTTTTTTATTGACATAGTTAGTGATTATCTGGATGACTAATTCTTTTTGGTCTATTTCTTCTTGTCTGATTGAGAAATCTTTATTGAATCCAAGTGAAGAATATATTAATTCTTTCGCTACTAGTTTGTAAAACTCTGGCACATTATGTTTAATGGTTTTGAGACCTTTCAATAGTAAATTTAAATTGTCTAAATTTGGTACATCTGAATGAGTAATCACAACATAATGCTTTTTTCCAAAAATTAAAAAGAGGTACATGGTTTTTTCATAGGCCATTTTCAAGTATGTGGATTTTATAATCTGTTTCAAGTATTCATTAATTTTTGTTTCTAGTATCTTTGAGTGTAATATTGTTAATTTAATCTGCTTCTTCCAATACTCTTTTTTTGATAATAATCTGTCAAAGTACTAAGTATCAAGTTCTGTGAAATATGATTCTGGCAATAAATAAAATATAGAATCTGTCTTCATAAACTACAATAAATCCTTGTTCTTTCACGAAATCAATCATGATCTTTAATGTTGCTCTACAAAATGCTGTAACTGATAAAGCAACTTCTTTATGATATAATGATGAATATCTGTAACCTGTCTCACCATATACAGAGTTTGCAAATATTTTTAATGCATATGATAATGAAGTGTAATATAAAAGTTTTGTTTTATCATTCTTGAACAATTTCATCTTTTGCTTCGCATTATTTCATTTTTCTAATAATTCTTTATACATAAGAGCCATAATACCCATGTTGTTTATATCATTGTCATGTGGTAAAAATTTACCATAGACAATGTTATTGTCAATTACAACATTTAAATTAGGATTAGTTGAATCTTTTGGTATACGTTTTTCAAGTGATATGTTGTTTTGTAAATAGCATGAGGGTAATATGAAGTAAAATCAACATCTGCTACAGGTCTTTTAATGTTCTTAATTGGTGGAATGACCAGACCTCCATCATACATTTCTTGTTCAACAATTCCCTTGCATCGTGATGATACTAAAATCTTTTTAGATGATGCATATCTGCTAAGCAAATTTTGTATTAAACATCTGATACCATTGGTAAAAACATTAGAAATTGTCACACAAGCAATTCTGGCTCTTTGTACATAATCACTAATTATGTTTCACTTTAAGTTCAATTCATGTAATCGCAATGTATCAACTGAACAATAATATGCTAACTCTATCGCATACTCTTCCAATATTGATTCTGAAACTTGAAATGCATTAAAACAATCAGAAAAAGGAATATTAATTAATTTTGACAGCTGATCAGATAATTTTTCAAACATCTGATTGTTGTTTTTAAACTTTATTACATTTATATAAACAAATATGCATTGTAGATCTGAGCTGTTTTTTGTAGGTACATATGGTAAATCAATTTTTCCAGAAAGGCCACAACATTTTAATACTGCATCAAGAGTATTAGTAATCTCTATTTGAAATGTTTTTTTAGCCCAGACCAGAAAATCAAGAAATACAGTTCATGGGATTTGAATGAATTCACATTTCATAGTCTCATTTGGTAATATTTTGATCTTTCGATTGTTAATATTTATTCCTGCAAATTTATATTTCAAATTATCTTTATCAATGTTATGATCAACAACTCGTACTGTTACTTGTTGTATATTGAACTGAAGAGTTGTTTTAGTTTTAGTTAAGAGTCTAATAAATTCATCATCTATATTCAATAGTCTGGCTTTTTTGAGTATAAAGTTCCAATCAAATTGGCCTGTATTGTAACTGATCTCAAATTCTGGTTCATAATTTCCAACTAATTCAGCAAATTTTAGCAAAAGCTGTTCTTGAGTTTGAAGCTCAATGAATATTAATTCTGTTAAATCATATTTTGAATGAAATTTTTGGCTATTTATAGGAATAGTTGATAAACAAAATCTCTTTTGAGAGATTGATTCACTGTAGAATATGATATCAAATTGGATCATGTATACATAATCATCTTCTTTCTTACCTACAGGAAAAAAACCTGGACCTCGTGATGATGATGTTTCAATGTTTCAATAAAGTAATAAGAGCTTTGGTTCCTCAAAATAATCAATTTTTTTAATATCATTAAATGTAATTAACATGTTGTTAAATATTCTTGGAGCATTTATTTCATATCATCCTACTAATTCAAAATCATTCTCATATGCAACTGTTCTGTAATAGCATGTTTTATTATCTGAATATATGTCATAGTATCGATCAAATTTTTCTATTTCTTCAAGAGGAATTTCTTCTCTTTTAGTTTCAATCTTTTTCAATGCTTCCTTTCTTTTTTTTAAAGTATTGTAATGTAATCATAAAAATGTGAATTTCTCTGTTGAATCAAATGGTTGTCTATATATTTTTTCATAACTTTCTGGTTCAAATTCATTATCATATTTTCTTAAATCATCTTCTGAATGTAACTTTATATCAAAAAAACTGAATCTTTTATACATTTATTGTGAATTTGGTTCTATCTAAACAAACTGTTAGTAATGATAATATATATTTTTGGTTGAATGTTATTGAATCTATCACATCATATATATAAAATTTGTTTGTATCAAGAGGTTCTATTAATTCTGAATGATTGTACATTTTGAGTTATACACAAAAAAATCTATCGGGTATTATATATTAAAAAATCTATCTGGTCAATTGACTAGATAGATGTTATTTATTAAATAATAAAAATATTAATCATTTGAAAAATAAATACTAAATAGTCCTTTAATTGTTAAATTTTTAAAATTTAAAACACTATTTTCTTCTGTTTCAATGCTTGTGATTCCCAATTTTGAAATATTAGATAAAGTTTCTTTACCAGAAACTTGAGGACAAGTTAAAAGTAGAATAGCTTGTTTAACAAGATAAAACTCACGATGTTGAGTTTCAATATGAGCTTTCATAGTGTTAATTAAGAAAGTATCAAAAAATTCTGTACAAAGTTTACATTTAACTTTCCCAGAATCATAAATATGATAGTTATCTGTGATAGTTTTTTTTTCTTGATTCATATTTGAATTATATACAAAAAAATCTATCTGGTTAATTAACTAGATAGAAATAATTAACAAAATAAATAAATATAAACTAATTCTTATTAACTATGATAATATTTGTAATAACATTAAGATAAAAAACAGTTTCAATATATTTCAATAAATCATCTTTTAATAAATTTCTAATCCATCTTGAATTACATATTAAACAATCTACTTGGTTAATAACTAAGTAGATAAATATAATTTAAAGAAAAATAACAAAAAATTGTTTCACAATGATAATAAAAAATAAAAAATTTAAGAAATAATATTAATAATAATAATAATATTGTCAGAAATTACATTTCTTTTAATAACTTTATCTAAATATTTTATAATATCATCTTTAGATAATTCTGTTATAAATTGCTTAATTTTCAAGAGCTCTTCAATATTTTCAATTACATTTTTTTGATAAAAAGTATTTTTTGCAATATGACATCCAATAGTGATATCTATTTAATTGATTAATAAAGCTCTTTGTATTTCATCAAGTTCTATATTATGGTTCAAACTGTATAAAACAGTTCAATAAATTGACAAAAATAAAGAGTTTTTTCTCTTATTATTTTTTATCAATTCCTTTAATATAAACTTATCACAATTTTTATTTAAAAAATTTGAAGAACTTGATGAATTATTATAGTCATTTTTAATATTATTTACCAAATTGAAAAAATATTTGGTTTATTAAACTAAATATTTGTTAAGATAGATGTTTTTATAACAGTTGCTTAAAAAGACT